CCTCCCGAGGGGCAGATGCTCTCCCGCCTGTTTAGGCCACGGAGAGACGGAGGCGTGGGGACCCCCCGGGGACCGTGTACCTTTCGGGGACCACCCCGGGTCTGGGCAGGGGCAAGCACAAGGCGGTGGGACCTCCGGGCTGGATGTGTCCCCACTCCCTGGGCTGCCCCTGGGACGCGTCTCCCTCGGTGCCGGCTTTGTTGGGGTGCTCGGGGGGCGCAGGGGGGGCGTGGAGGGGGACGCGCCCGGCGCATCGTGCTGCGTTGCCAAGACAACGGCAACTCCTACACGCTGCTATTTATTCTGAAGGACACTTGCTCTTATCTGTCGTTGCAAAGCCCTCAAAAGATTGCATGCCAGGCAAAAATTCCTCCGAGGTAACCGGACTCGCCGCTGCTGTCCCTAAAGCCGCCTCCTTGGGGACGTGCCAAGCCCGCGGGGTGGCCGGGAGGATGCTCCTTGGGTGACAGCCCCTGGGCTGGCATCGCTCGAGGGGACGCAGGCGGGAGGGTGACCCACGCCGTCCTTGGGGCAGGACGGGGGTGATGCTGAGGGCTCTGCCCGCCTCGGGCTGCCCGGTACGAGCTGTGGGTCCCCCCACCGCATCCCTCCCCATCACCGGGGGTCTGACCTGGGCGTTCAATTCACAGCAGCGAGAGACATCCCTGCCTCTGTCTGTGCCCGGGCGCAGCGTGGCTGGTGCGGTGTCCCGAAGATGGGGGTTGCGCGTCGCGTTTTCCCCCTGTGTCCACCCGGCGCTGCGGGGAGCGGGGCAGCGATGCTCGGGCAGGTCCCGGGTGGGAGCAGAGCCCCGTGAGCTCGGGGCTGCCGCTTGAGAGTGACATGAGTGCGCGGGAGGGAACGGGAGGAGGGGAAAAGATGATGAGGGGACTGGAGCATCTTTCTTACGGGGAAAGGCTGAGGGACGTGGGGCTTTTAGTCTGGAGAAGAGAAGACTGAGGGGGATCTTATCAATGCTTACAAATCCTTCAAGGGAGGGTGCCGGGGGGGTGGGAACAGTCTTTCCGGTGGTCCCCAGTGATGGGACAAGAGGGAACGGGCACAAACGTGACCATGGGCAGTTCCATCTCCACCTGAGGAGGGACTTCTCTGCTGTGAGGGCGGCAGAGCAGTGGCACAGGCTGCCCAGAGAGGTGGGGGAGTCTCCCCCTCTGGGGTTAGGGAGTCGGGCGGAGGCTGAAATGGAGCCTGACGTGCCGCTGGAGTGAGTGTGGGCATCGCAGAGGTGAATCTGGGTTCAATGCTCTCACTGGAAGCTCGAGCTCCCCACTTCTCGCCGGAGGAGAGCGGGTGCTGCCTGCGGCACCGCCGATGCACGGCACGCGGGGGATGCTCTTCGTGCTGCCCCCACGGCACTGCCACCGCTCTGCCAGCCTCTAAAAAAAAACCCCACCAACAACATGTTTTGGGTGGTTTGGTGTTTTTTGAAGCCTTGAAATCCTTCCTCCCCCAGCCTGAACTATTTCGGTTTATGTTGTCTGTTTCTGGCTCTTCCCTTTCTCCTTCTGCACGCTTTCCCTGCGTCGCCGTGTTCCTCCCCAAAATAAATGCTGTTACGCTTTGAAAAAATACCCAATTAGGGGAAAAAAAAAAAAAAAAAAGAGATCCTCTGAGCAGAAAAAGACTATGCTGAGAGTATCCAGGTCAGCTCCTTTAGCTTCATTTGCTCACGCATGGAGGGAGTGTACAAATGCTTCTGTCAACCAGATGCACATTTTGTTGTGCTACCAAGGACTTTACGGGGCGCAGCGCTGCGGAGGATTAGTCTATTTAGCCAGATAAAGCTCTCATTAACTCCTGCTGAGTCTGACAAAAGTCTTTCTTGTGTAAAAGCTGAATAAAATGGAGTAAAGATTTTGGGCTTTGGCCTAATGATTTTTTTTCTGGGTGAAAAAAAAAAAAAAAAAAAACCAAGAAAAATTTGCATATTAGGCATTTTCTTACTGCGAAACACCGTGCTTGGTGGGGGGTAGTAGCATCTTAAGGGAAGATGCAAGTGGAGCAGAACCTCCCGAGGTGCGGTGCTGCTGAGGAGGGGAGAGGGCTTTGGCGTCACCGGACCTGGTGGAGGCACGTTACATCAAAGCAAAATTGTAAATACTGACCCTGCCGACGGCGCGGCGTGATTTCCAGCTATCCTGTGACCGAGAGAGCAGTGAGAGGAGCTGCTCGTCCTTCCCCGCTCGCTGAGGGGCTGTGCTGAGGAAGCGCCCGACGCGGTGCCCGGCAAGTCCCCGTGCCGCGGGGTCGCATTCGGTGCTGGGTGCTGTGCCCGGCAGGAGGGGATGCTCCTGCTGCGGCGTGGGCGACCGCCTCAATAGGAGATGGGTTACGCGTGCAAAGAGACCACGAACTCCTCTGGTTCGGCTCTTTGAGGGATTAATCCCACCGCCCTCCGCGGGTTTGCTCCTGGTCCCTTGGCTTGGAAAGCGAGCAAGGGCCGGGCTCCCCAGCACCCCGGTGACATAGAGACCCCGGGGCGAAGGCTCTTGCTGCTGGCGCTCCGCTCGTGCCATCTGCTTTGGATAATCCACCTAAAAGAGCCGAGTTTGGGTAGCAGAGACGCTGGCCGGTTCCTCGGGGCGTTTCGCGGTAGAGCCCATCTTTGAGTCGTTCGTGGCGTTTGCGTATTGGCCGAGAAGCAGCAAAGTCACGATTTTGGATGGGGGTCCTTCATCTGCCCTGCTCGCGGTGATGGGTTCTGTGGGGGGAGGGGTGCGGGGCTCCCTGCGATGCCGTTTCGGGGGGCTCTGTCGGGATCGCGGGGGGAAGGATGATGGCACCGCTCTCCGG